TAAATTTACACAGCCATGCAAACAGAACTGCTTCACGGTAGAAACACGAATGGGACAGAGTACCTAAGCAACTCTGGTTGCTTGTTCTTATTAATAATAATATTACCTATGTCATTAAATATATAAATTTGATAAAGCGATTCTGAACATGATTCATAATAGTTCATTTTAAACTGTCCTGTTGTTTACACATTTAGGTATTTCAATTCATTCATCGTTGCAATCCACGTCAAAATGTCGGTAATAAAAATCGGGTACGTAGGCATACTATTTACCCGAAATTGTTCCACGTTAAGTCCCGATCGTAAATTTAAATATGATTCACAATTTAAAATTATTGTTATTGGTTTTATTTCCTTATTGTGTGATTTATAAACACATTTACATTTTAAATAATTATTATTTTATGACCTGGAATTTATATTACAATAAATGTACCTAATACTTATCAATTAACAAAGATTTTGTTTCTCTACAACTCAATTTTAACAAAACACGATACTGGATATTTTTCCATTATGAAAAAATTAATCATCAAATTTGATTAAATTTTGATAAAGATATCGAATAGCTAGCCCATTAGCTAATATTAAAAACACAACAATCAATTTAATAAACGATGAATTAAATTAAACACAGATATTTTAATAGTTACTTGAAAATATATATATTTAAAAACATATATAATTATTATATACACATCTACTTTATAAAGTACTCATTAACAGAAAATTGTATGATGCCGTGCCATCTGATAATTCGCTTCAAAATCAGATTTGTGCCAACGTTTAATATAAAATTTAATAAAATAAAAGTAATAATTTTTATTTTATTAGAGCAACGACATAAAAATATAATAACTAGTCCGATTTTGTTTTAAAAACATACTAACTGATGACTCAATATTTATCACTTTTGCAGGACTCACTGGAGGCATACTGTCATTCGATATCTCCACAATTTATTAACTAACCAGCTATCTGTTAACTATTAACTCATTTTAAATTATTAAATATATACGGTCAGGATCATATCAAAATTCATAATAAATATTAAATTCTACACAAATATTAAAAAAGAAACAAAGTTAGTATATTCAATGTTTCTTTGAGTCATTTAAAACCAGGTTATCTTAGTTCAAAAGTGTGTTATGTTAATTTTTTATATCTAGTGTTGTTTTGACTGTTTAATAAGAATTTACGTAAAGCAACTCTTATACCTAACCATACTAATGCAGATTTAATGAGAATATCTGATAGTGTGCGCCAACACTGACACAACATTATCAAGCTACAGTCTCATTAATCGCGAATATTCATAATTAATGAATATTAAGAAGGAACTCCGCCTACTCCAGTAGGAGACGTGACATATATGTATGTATGCAAGGAGTAGTTAGATTTTATGTAATATTTTTTTTTATTTAAATTAATAATTTTTTTTATTTAATTTAAATTTAAATTAAAACATCAAATAAACTAGTAAACTTCTCCACACTAAGAGTACCTGTGCACAGTAAAAACTAGAATATAATATATAAACATATTTATATAGTAGATAAAGATGGCAAATTTCCGTGTCAATTTGTTTACTACAACAATTATTGTAAACAAGTAAATATATGAAAGAAAATATAAATATATAAAACAAACAATATTAGTAGAATAAATAACACCTATATATGTATAACAAAAGTTAGATAGGTATGGACTAAAAGAACAACGGAAGAACATATACAAAATTGTTCGCAAGTGCAATTGAGCTACGAAAGGATACGTTTAATATGAAATTATATCAAACACATGAATAGTTGTTACTCTACTCGTATACCTATCCATAAAAATAAATATTCTGGACATTGGTGTGCCGACTCCTCTTATTTTTATTTATTATAAACATATTATGAGTATTTGCGCATTTTAAGAACATTTGTTAAACAGAGACCATTTACATCATATAAACAACAACAAATATAAAAACAACTTTTATTACAACAATGAAATTTTTTTTTTAGCACCGGATCAAAAGGTTTCACGCTTTTTCATTTGCAGCCAACTAACCAACTAATGTTTTGTCATTCTAAGTTGCATAAAAAAATGCAAGTAATGTAGCAATAGTGTTTTTTTTTATTATTATCATATATCATATTCTAATATTTATTTGTTAATTGGCTTTGGTTATCATATGAGATAGGATGGGATTATCCTTGTTTTTTCATTTGCAACCAACTAATACTTTGTCATTCTAAATTGCATAAAAAAATACAAGTAATGTAACAATAGTGTTTTTTTTTATTATCATATATCATGTTCTAATATTTATTTGTTAATTGGCTTTGGTTATCATATGAGATAGGATGGGATTATTAGACAAGTTGAAGTGGTCAGAAGTTTCCATGAGTACAGATAACGTGTCTCGATAGTGCCACTCAACTATTCTCAAACTTATGATTACATTAGAAGTAAACATTTTTTTCTATAAATATACCCTACACAATAATCATTTCATCATCATCATGCTATAAGTCGTTAACTATCCACTGCTGAATAGAGGCCTCCCCCATAAGAGAGGGGGGGCTAGGGTTGCAGTAGTTGCCACGCTTGGCAGACGGTTTGGCAACCTCAGTTAGGCTTTGGTGATGTTTTAAGAGAGACCCTGCTGTCCATAACTCGACCATTAAGTTCCCCTAGTCGCCTCTTACGACGTCTACGGAAAAGGAAGGAGTGGTCCCATTCTATGCCGGAACCGCATGGCAATAATAATTTGCATATTAGTAAATACCTGGTTAGACAGATATGCTAAAAATAGTTACTCTATGTTTAGAATATCTACCTATCTTTTACGTATAGAATTAATACGTTTAAAAATTACGTACGCTTGTAAATAAAAAAAAATTTTCTCCTTCAGTGACAACATATTGACATCTACTACGAGTATCTAACTGGACCGATTTATCATCTCTTTCCGTTGGCTTAATTTCAAATTACCGCAATATCATTAAGACCCAAATATTCCACATTAATTCCGCAAAATTTGAAGTTGAACAGAAATACTAATTAACCGTCAATAAATATGTAAACAAGCATTGAGATTGTATGTGTCCAATATCTTTCTTGCCAAAAAAAGAAAGTTGAACCGAATAGCGAACATTAACGAGAGTTAAAAAAAATAACATAAACATAAAACACTATTTTTATCAATTCATTTTTGTTTGATAATTAATTTTTTTTTATGGTTACGATGCTTTTTTTTTTGTTAACCTTATTTGTTTTGTTTACATTTAAATTTACTTTTATCAATAAATACATTTGTTGCAACAATTACATACTTTACATAAAATATACTGTAAATATTAAAGGATTATTAGGTATAAAAGAAAAAGCTTAACATTGTTATTGATGAAAAATAAAACTAGGAGAAACCTTATTAAATGAAGAAAATTCATATGAATACGGATGAAAGATAATTAGCGTTTATCGTATATCTGAATTTAATAAATGTAATGTCATCCTACTGATTTTAATTGAGTTAATAGGATACTAGACAACAATATGGAACGCCTACAAACTGTAAAGACTAGATAAATTAAATAGCCTGATTTATTCACATCTAATTATTTAGCCAATTTTTATTGGTAAGAATTCCAACAAAATCTTGATGATGTTGTTAATGTATTAAATTACCGAATCTAAAATCTCTGAATATGTGTACTATATATATATATATATATATATATATATATATATATATATATATATATATATATATATATATATATATATATATATATATTTATATCCGTTGTCTATAACAAAATGTGTTTAAACTATAAACCTAGCAATTGATAGTAGGTACCTGTACAAAAATCAAATTACAGCTAAATGAACAAACGAATATATACAATTTAAAATTAATTGCTTTGCGTTATTCACTTAAAATATGAGGAATAATCTATAATAATATATACTTATCTATATTTTAACTCGATAAAGTAAGATATTTATAACCTCAATGGATATTTCCACGAATAAATCAACGTAACCCAATTTATTTATAGGAAAATTAACAAGTTATTTCATTATCTGTACGAATAAATATTTTCACGTTTACTAACTTTCCGAGACTTCATTATGATAAACATGTCCCTTCATCAAACACCTGGGAAGATAAAGGGCGATGCACTCGGTAAATAGTTTAATACGACTACTAGGTACGAGTATATCAACAAGAACTTACTTCAATTCAAGAATAATAAGACTTGTTCAAATAACTTCAATTTAATATGTTGTGAGAAGTAATTAGACAACTTCGACAAATTATAAAATCAGTAAAGATGTTAAGATCTTTGTTAATCGTTTAAATGGATAGATAATTTTTAATAACCAACAACACAATAACAATCGAATATTTTTTTATTGTAAAATACTTACAAGCAAATGCTATTTCTTGGATTTAGCCACCTGAATTAGAAAGAAAATAATTTAGATTAATCTATAATATAGTCTACCCATATGTATAACAGCAGTTTAAACATAATTAAGTAAAAAACATGCAGACATTTTCACAAACTATTTTACACATTTATATGCACAAAATACTCTACAATGTATTAATTTACAAGTAGATTAATACATAGTGACATTTATCTGCGTTTTAAATTTCAAGTCATTCAACTTCCTGATGTGCAATTGCGTAACAAACAATATGATACATATTATACATACAAAGATAATAAAATGTTTGTATGTTTGTTACTACAGTAATAGGATAAAGCCAGTAATACTACTACTACCTTTACCCCGCGGCTAAGCACGTATACGAGTATGAAGTAGTGTGTGCTAAGTTTCATTTAAAATTCAACCATTTATCAAACACCTTTATAAACTTTTATATGTGTATATTGTTCATATTAGAATCTCATACAATGAAAATATAAAACAAAAATTCTCTCTATAGACATTCTTAGTCATTAATAAATTTGTACTTCTGTTTATTTCCAGCAACGCTCATCACAGCGACAGCTGGTACCTGCTACGGCTGGCCCTCACCAACACTACCTTACCTACAATCTTCTAACAGCAGCATACCAACTACACCTGGTCAGGGATCATGGATAGTGTCCATAATGATATTATCCTCCGCCCTCACACCTATACCATCAGCCTACCTCGCAGACAGATTTGGAAGAAAAACTACATTGCTCATCGGAGCTGTGCCATTTATACTTGGTTGGCTGCTCATCATCTTCGCCAAATCCGTTGCTGTCCTCTACGTATCTAGAATGTTCTCTGGACTCGGATACGGCATTGTATATACTGTAGCGCCTATGTATACAGGAGAGATTGCTACAAATGAAGTTCGAGGAGCTCTCTCTACACTCATTACGCTTATGAATAAAGTAAGTATTGCCATTACTTATACTGATGTTTAGGGAAAAAATAATGTAACAACCATTAACTGTCTATTACTTAAATCTTGCACATTAAAATGACAATAATAGAAGGAACGACATGGTATTGTAAAAACAATTATCAAATATAATTAGCAAACATATAAATACGTGTAATATACACAAAAAATCCAGACGAAGTGAAAGTCACTTCTATTTGATGTACTCAATTCTACTTTACTATATAAGATTTCAGAATATCATCCTCCATATTACTAAAAATTAATATTGTCTACAAATTGTATCCTTCGTCAGATCACCTAGTACATAAACAAGAAAAAAATACGTGAATAAATAAATATAAATGTATATTTTTAAAATGTTCAAACAATATGATTATCGTAATCATAATAGACTTCAAAATACATAAACTACAAATCAAAATGTTCTGATATATTAGAGACCGATGGTAACAGCCTCCGTGATTTTTCGTTCCTACCTAGGTAATTTAACAATCGTCCCTGAAAATATATACCTACTATGTATATAACAAATTGAAAGCCACAGACGAGACAATGTATTCAATGAAATGAACAATTGTTAACGCAATCTCATTATATGCTTTGTTATAACTAGAATATTGTAGTTCTGTTGATGGCCATTATGTATCATGTTTCAAAAAAAAATGCTTTTGTCAGTTGTTTATCAATCTTATCCCAGTGTTCAATTTAAGAGCATACCGACAAAACTTAATTGGAATAATGTTTTATTATCTGTCAAATTTAAAAATAACTGCTTTAACAGCGAACTGAAATGTTAATCACGCAATAAGATTCTTATTAAGCTGTTACTAAAATAGCATTTTTCACCATTTCAAACCATTTTAGCTATATATATTTGAAACCTTTTGTAATAAAATTTTAAATATAAATACATAATTTATATGAGATAATTAGATGAAACTGATTCTATAATATAATTAACGCTTTAATTTGCAATAAGAGCACTTTATAAGTAAGATAATTCAGTTGTTGTCGTACTCTAGTAAATTTCAATTTAAATATTAAACAAATTTTATGCTATTCATGTAGCATCAAAGACTGCTGATTGTTTCTAATCTCCTATAAACAAATGGGGCTAAAGTATCACCAGTCCTTTTCATCAACATGTTGTAAGATACAAGGTAACAAAACTAAAGTGTACAGCACACTAGTTCAAGAAAAGGAAAACAATTGCTGAGCATAAAGTTAGGTCAGTAGCCCATCGTAAGGAATTCGCCAGAAATTAACCACGATTGTTTCCATTAAGAGTCGAGTAGAGGTCGACCTGACATGGTACATTGCTAGCAATTGGTAGCTAGTTCTCATTACTAAATATCCTCTCTCCTCTGCTATACTTAATAGTACGATTCATTACCTTACCTATAGATTTTCACACTGGTATCTCTTCCTCTATACGTTAGATATTTGCTTACACATGCGCAATATGAAACGTGATTAACGTGACTCACTGCCTTAATTACATATAGCTCGTAATTAACCCACACATTTACATAAACACCTACTATGAAATACTCAAGACATTCAATCTAGAACAAACGTCATGATACAGCAAGAATATATACAAAATCTTTGGGTATTTCCAAAACCTTGATGAAATAGTAGGCTAAATGATTAATATACTTATAATTAATATTAAATTACTTATTTACTAATGAACCTAAGCTTATTTACGAGTCTATAACATTATGCTTACTTATCAAGCAAAGTGTTGTAGCTTCAAAACTCTAATTAATACAATGTTCAGAAAGTTGTCTCGAGTCTTCATATAATGTTTCATTTTGATACCCATAATAATATATTAATACCTGAGTATGTACTGAGAATTGTCTTTAAAAATCACAACCATTTTTACTTATGGATATTATCGTTTTCATAGTAAACAAAATCATAATACAAATCTACAATAATATAGTTATTAATTTAATAGTCAAACATAATGAAGTTCCTATTTAAACTTACCGTGTACAAATATTATAACAAAAGCAATCATTTTAACTACTTTAAAAAGAAGCCGCTTCTGAATTCTTGTTTAGTGTGCTTGTTGTCATGTAATATATTCGCCAATTCTAAACTGATTTTATATTTTTTACGACTGATAGGCTCAACTCTCTTATTGGTTTCATGTTAATTTTTCAAGATAGAAGCTACAGTTTTTATTTCTAAAAATCTCGATAAAATTAACACCTATTAGTAATATAATAAATTCCCAAAGTATAGAAAATGTTTTAATTCGTCTATTTGCTCATCAGAACATAAACCCATTGAAATTATTTTAGCATTTTCATTATTATATACCTAGGGATTAAGCAATAAATTGAAAATAAGAGAATTTCGTAACAATGCCATAGAGAACGAAACGATTACGTACGAAAGATTATTTCGTCTTTGATGTTAAAAAAATAATTTTAACATTCGTTATTCATGTGTCAGTCAATTAAATTCCGCCTGTGACACAGTAAAAAATATCTGTAACTACTCAGATATGTCATTTTGATATCGTAATCGCTGTGTAGCCTCTTATGTCTGCCTTTATAGTTGTTTAATCCTTATTTCAAGATTATTTAGTACAATTGTATATTACAGCGTAGATATACATATATCTTGATAACACTGAATTGCTGGTATTAAAGTTGCATGAAAATCATAATATTTCTCTGTATTAACTTCTCAACTTTTTCAAGTACTAGAAGATTATAGATACATGGTAGTCTTTTGCGCAATATTTTAAACTTATTGTTATCGTCCTTTACGGTTGTCATTTCTAGTTATAAATTATATGATCATTTTGCATTTACTAGTACTATAATACTTTATTTCTTGTCAACTAAGTATATTATATACCTGTGTATAATAACAATATTATTTTTCTATTTCAGGTCGGTATTCTTGCCCAATACTGCATCGGACCTTTTGTATCGATGCGAACCTTAGCTGCTATCAACTTGACCCTGCCGATCACTTTTGTTTTGTCTTTTATCTTCCTTCCGGAGTCCCCTTATTATTACCTGAAGTTTGAACGCAGTGAAAGGGCAGAACGATCCCTTAGAAATCTACGCTCGGGTGACATAAGAACAGAACTCAAAAATATAGAAATCAATGTTCAAGAAGACATGAAAAACCGGGGGACCTGGAGTGATTTAATAACTGAAGCTACTAACAGAAAAGCCCTATGGATATGTTTAGGAATATTTACAATTCAACAGCTGTGTGGTAGCGCTGCAGTCGTTGCATACGCCGAAGTCATTTTTAACTGTACTACACAAGGTGCCGTTGCGTCCACTAATGCTTCAGGACTAAATGAAACCGCTTCAAATGTTGGCACTTCCATTAAGCCATACCAAGAATCTATTATTCTTGGATGTGTTCAAGTCGCTACTTGTGTGCTCTCCGTAATTCTTGTGGACCGAGTTGGAAGAAAACCTCTACTACTGTTATCAGCACTTGGAGTTGGTCTAATGAATGGTACTATTGGCACGTACTTCTTCTTTGACATTACAAAGAAAGGTTCTGTAGATTTCCTAAACTGGCTTCCTCTGTGTGCGCTGCTCATCTATATAGTATGTTATGCTATCGGCCTCTCTACAGTGCCTTACGTCATAATTGGAGAGATGTTCCCTACGAATGTCAAACTCTACGCCTCATGTGTTGCCCACATCTACACCGGCATCGCTATGTTTACAGTTCAAAAACTGTTCCAGGTTTGTTTTTATATCTTTTATATACTAGTAATTGCCCGCGATTTCATTCATGTGACTGAGATAAATAGAAGCCTAAATCTTATCCGTCTTAATTTCGTATGATCTTGGCATAGAATAGGTCACCCCTTCCTTTCCTGTAGATGTCGTAAGAAGCGACTAAAGGAACTTAATGGTAGAGGGATGGGTAGCAGCGTCTCTCTTAAAAATTTTTAAAAGCCTAACTGTGGTTGCCAACCTGCTTGCCAAGCGTGGCAACTACTGGCAAAAGGCCCCTTATAAGGAAGGCTTTATTTAACAATGGATAACTAATGGCTGAAATGATGATCCATCCTAGACAGAATATGGTACATAATACATAACTAATCGTCATGATAACTGTTATAGTTATCATGACGATTAGTAAAGCCAATAAAACGACAAGAGCTAAAAAAATATTAATTTTCATTGTCTACTACTAGTATATAAATTACTTTATGTATTAAATATTAACTATTGTAACTTTTCATCGACTGGACCGTCAGTTTATTTGACATTCTAAATTTCTTAAGAAAACACCTGCACTTAAACACAAATGTAGTTTTGTGACTTTTTTAGTTTAATTTAATTTCTCGATGTCTCTGAATAATTTGTGGTTTTATTTTTATATTTTAAGTAATTTCAATATTAATAAAATTGTATGTAATAAAGAATTTAGTAGAGATTTTAAAAAGAAAATTTTCACCCATTTTAATTATTTTTATTTTTTCAATATTCCAGGTGGTAAAAGACGCTTACGAAATCTATACAGTATTCTGGGGATTCGCGGCATTCTCTTTCCTTGGTCTGGTGTTCACGCTAGTAGTGCTAGCCGAGACGAAGGGAAAATCGTTCTCTGGCATCCAAGAACAATTACGAAGAGAAGTAGAAAGAGGCAGCGCTATCCAAGTCGCGACAGCTGAATACTGAACCGTAACCGTGCCACCCATGCAGGGCTGATTTCTCATTCTTATTTCTAAGCTTAACTTTAAGGGATCAAGTTGAAAATAAAACTTATATTGAATATTGTTACTTAAATTATAATGATAGTTAGACATACAGTTTTATATATACAAGTATTGTATGTACAGCTAGATTAATTTAACAATCTGTACATAAGTAGGGAGGGAAGAAGAGTGGGGGCCAGGATGGAAGCTGATGAAAATGCGGTGAAGTCTTGTGAGTCGAAGTCGGCCGGCAACTTCCTGGACGCCACCACGCTTGTATACAGCTTTGCCGACTGCTTTGGTGTTCTTGTTTTATTAGGGCTTTCAAAATCAACCAGATACAGACCGAAGCGGGACCTGTAATTGCATTTACAAAACACATCACGAGTGAATTAAACCGTTTGACTGACTTTTTATTGTTTTATTCTAATTAAAGTATATTATTTTTAGTACACGGTAATAAAGTGTGTTAACTCTTAAATGAGTGATTTCATATTTTAAACATATCTATAAAATAAATGTATTCCATATTGAAAATTTTTTAAAAATTTCAACATTTCTGTATAGTAATTAACTTGTAGATAGATACAGCGATATTTACCATTTCTTAAAAAAATACTAGATACGTTTTGATAAAATTTGGTGTGATGATAACTAAGTATCTAAGGCAACATATAGGAGACTTTGTATTACGGTAAAATGTCTCCTATCCATAAAAAACAATCGCTACGCGAGCGACGTCGCGATAAATGCTAGTAAAAATTTTAAATTTATGATCAGTATGCTACAACTTCCTTATGTGAATATTTCTTGCGACAATTATTGGGAAGGTCTTTATTCAGCAGTATACAATAAATGGTTGCAATGATGATAATATTATAATGCAAATTATAATGATGTTGTTTCCAAAAAAAAATCCTACACAAAACCTACAGCTTTTTTAAAACTCTACGAATTTGATCTAAGAGAATTAAGAATACTTTAATATACGACTAAATATGGCTTCACTAAAGAGACTAAAGCTAAGAGAAGTATACCCTCTCATCTATTTAAAAGGCTTTTCGTAGTCTATTATTTCTAAGATCTGAGACGACGGCGGATTAATATTGCGTATATTTTAGGTTTTTGTATATTTTGATGTAAGGATATCTCTCGTGACACTAAATCTTATTTATATTTATTAATTAATAAAAATGAATGTATAGTTTATAACTAATAATTCCAAACTATTTTACCCAGTCAGAAATAAGTTTTTTTTTTTGGGCAAACAAGCCGACTGCCCACCTGATGAAAAGGTGTAACTATTTGCCTTAATATATGCGTGGCACCATAGACGTTACAGAATACTCTGTAATACCCGTGGTACCTTTCATGCATTGCCATTCTTAAAGACTATGGTGTTATGCCTCCGTAACCTATAATTTCACTACCTACCACTTTTTAAACTGAAATACAGCCAGGCAAGCACGGTTGCTTCACGGCAGAAAAACGAGTAGGGCAGAGGTACCTATGCGGACTAATGTATATAAATCTCCCTTAAACTTTCAAAAAACGCGAGACTGAATAGTGTAATTATTTAAATTCCTAACCTTACCAATTATTTTATACCTCAGAAATATCCTTTCCTTTCCTTCTATAAACCCCTTAATAAGAAATGTCACTATTTGAAATAGGTACATACCTATTCTAAATAGTGACATTTATTTCAAATTCGCTATTTCTTAAAAAATTGTAATATTTTTTTATACGGAAATATAAAAATATGAAAATCATATTCAAATAAATTTTTATACGTTTTATAGAAAAAAAAAGCAAATAGTTTGATGGTATATTTCATGTAAAGTGAGCCTGATAACCATTGCTCCCCACTTCACACGTAATTATTCCTAAAGACTCGCAAGTTACCCTTCAGTACCTAATTATAGCACCTTTGAAATAAAAAAACAAGAAGATGCTTTTTGAAATATAAAATATTAAGACGAAAATTACGGTAGGCTTACTTTTAGCACCATCTAAATTGATTGCTGTACCATCTCTTGGTGGATTATGATAACTGAACATTCCTATCACAGTAATTTAATTTTAGCGCCGTCTAATTCGGTAATGACTCCATCTATCGGTAAATAGATTACCTATACTTTCTAGCTAGTTTACTGTGAAATCGTCGCCGCACATATAGGTACGGCCTTAATCCGTAATTTATATTTTATTCATTATCTATTACTAACAGTCTCGAGGGGATGGGACACCGAGCTATATACGTTTTTATATTCTTTTGAATTCATTATATTTTTATAAAGAAAAAAAATATAAACAAAAAAACATTATTTATTCCACACAATAATTAAGCCCGGTGTAGGTATTTATTACATAAAAAAAGAAAAGAGGAAAAAAACATATGAAGCTCCTGCCCACCATAAACAGCGAAAATATCAATTAGAAGACCACGCCTCACCCATCTGAGGAAAGCTTAAAACTAGTGGCCCGAGGATAGTCACCTCCGGAGTTGAAGCCAGGGCAAAGGTGTCTGCAACAAGGCCAACACATAACCCTCCCACCAAGAGGGTCAGAAGACCTGTCATCGTCTTAGCTAGTTCGATTCGATACGATACTTTCGTTTCCTCTCTGTACGTCCTGAGTATAGGACTAAGGTTGTAGCGCTTGATCCGTGACTCCCGTACCGCCATCAATTCTTTTGATTTACGAGGACCAGGTGACCAACGCTACGACTTTTGTGGAATTTTGAAATGGAAAATTGGAATTTTGTAATTTAAGTAACTATTTTATATGATATAGCGATTGAGGAGGATTCGACCATCGAATGTACAGTCTATATATTCACCGGTTGACCATTTTCTTCCTTTTTGTCTTAGTCGACATATAATCTCGTAAATTCCGTACGACAGTCATACAAGTAGCACTGCTACCTGACGGCAAAATTAATACGTGTTCTAGTGATAGGAGTAGAAAATGCAATAGGTACAAAGTTACTGAAGATAAATTTCAATTGGTTTGTTATCTTATCTTCAGCTATCATATCACAGGACAACAAAGAAGTAACTAAATTGAAGTTAGATAGTTACTTAGATTAACAGTAAATGCATGGTTCACTTCTCACTATCTACACAATTTCCAAGAATAAGTTAAAGTAGTATCACTTGATGAGCCTTGAAGTTATAAATAACAAGAGGTCTCATATCTAATACTCAGAAATATTAATTTAAGACAAGAACTCGTAACAAAGTTACTTTCTGTAACACCAACAAAATGAACGATGTTATTTTACGTTTATTTAAATAAGACACGACTCTTATTATAGAAAAGACAAAATTATGTTCTTTGAAAGGATTAATAACCTTTACCTATAGAAATACAAGATCGTGAAATCATTTTAAAAAAGTTCATTAGGTAATATAATTTACAAAATATAGGTACCGCCTTAATTTACATTAAGTTACTATCCAGTTGCATTAATTAGTTGTCTACACACACAACTCTAGTATCAAATTGTTGACGACCTTACGTCTTCTATGTTCGTCCTTGAGCTAAAAACTACCTTGTTGCTAATTACCGTCAACATCTAGTTAATAGTTTTGTCATGAAAAAATTTATATGCTAATAATTAGGCCCATCCGCCTATTAAGTTTGTATAAGGACCTTAAAATTTTTGGCCTTTTTCGACCCATATATTTATTTATGTATTTCATCAACTGATTGAGCTTTACAGTCTCCCAATACGCTCACCCAAGAAAGCATCAGTACAATAGCACATACTTTACAATTAAATGGAATAATATTAATATGAGTTAACAATAGAAGTAACATTAATATAAGACCGAGCGATAAGACCGCCTTTTGTACCTTTATGTATATATTTCAATCTGTATTTATGTTACTGTATTTCATTTGAATTATTCACTTGTCATTGTATATTTTTATTTATGGTGCAATAAAGAGTTAAATAAATAAATAAATTAATTAAATTTTAAATTTCTGAACACAAACATTCTGTGGCCATCGGATACCGGATGTGGATACCGGCTCAAAACATCATTGAGTAGTTTTAATGCAAGAGATATGGGAGCTTGCTTAGACAACTCTGTTCTTCTTAACGGAATATCAAATAAGTGCCATCTACGTACTCGCACGTAGTTACTGGGTACTCCTATTGATACTGTTACCAGCACAGTTTGATTACATTTTTCCTCCCGTATTAATTTTAACACATATGTATCTTCTCAATATTATATGTAAAATTCTCAGATTTAGTAACAGAAAATTGTTTTTAATGAACATTTATGAATTCGATTTCACTTTTTATACTACTAGCTGTAATAGGCCTCGGCTATACTCGTGTGAAATAGAATAAAAAGTATCGTATATGTTGTGTGTGTACTTAATTTTTTACATATACTTAATTTTATAAACATCATTATAAACTTTCACATCTATAATAATGGTAAATAATATAACTGTAATAGTATAAGAATACTTACACATAACCATCATCCCATTCAAAGTTATCCATCAAACTCCACGCGAAGTAACCGATGACATTACTTTTATCTTCATTTATGGCATGAAGCAGGGCATTCAGATAATGTTTGTAATATGACACTCGAGACTTATCCTCTACACCACTAAAATCAGCATATCCATTTTCCGTCACAATAATAGAATAATTTTTATACGTGTTCGTAATGTATTGGAGCAGTCGACGGAAACCAATTGGCACTACCTGGAATAAAAACATAATTTTCATGTTAAGAAAATCCACGCCATACATATTGAGTTCTTTTAAATCATTCACTAAAGAATACGACGACTTTATACATAATAATTTAAAAAGATTATATAAAGGATTTAAAGGGAACATAAAACTAATCCCACTTCTGTTGATTCGTGATTAGTTGGATTGTGGTTTCGCCTCTACGCAGCGGAGTCTATGAAAAATTAGCTGTAATTCTTCATAGATAACTTCGTCGATCGATCTTTATTTCACCTTGGTAGAAGGGAAGAAGGGAAACTATAATATATCGTCTCTTCCGCGTGTCCAGTGTTCTACGTTTATGTAATCCATCAATCCACAAATTTAATTACCACAATAAATCTCTATGATGCATTATATTGTAATTATTGGTACTAAGGTGATTCGACAAATATACTTTATAAACAATCCTAGACATGTTTTTATAATCGTAATAAATAATTAACGACCATAACAGAACATTATTGACAAGAGATTTTTTTTTTATAATACTTCAAAAACAAGGATAATTTTAATTCATCAAAATAGTCATCATGTCAATCATGTCTATAGGCGACGGTTACCACTTTCCATAAGGTGAGCCGTCAGCGTGTTTACTATTCTAAGTTGCATAAAAAAATTCTGTCATTATATAATTAAATCGCTAATTCTAATACTTATTTTCGCAATTCTTTTTGCTATGGATAGAATTTACAATTATATTGATATTGTTTTCATTTTGTAAACATTAAAGCTGATATCTTTTTTTTTTTTTTGGAGCAAAAAACTGCTAGTTGCCGCACTTCCCAACACGCAGATTGCTACGTCAGATTCTAATATGCTTGACAAAACTAAATGTACGCATGTCTAATGTTACTTTTACCATAACACAATCATCGACTTTTGAATAAACCATCCATTTATAGTCCTGAGCATGGTTATTTATTTTAATTATCAATTACTTCACGTGAAATTTTATATCCAGAATTGAATAGTAAAATGTAATGACAGTTTGCATACAATACCAATATATTCAGTATATCCTCAGTACCAATATTAATACCAACATCTAATATAATTAAATTAAATATAAGTTCGGCGAACATTGAAAATATTTATTTACCTTAAGCCAAGTTGAAGATGACAACGAAGGCCAGTCTGGATCTTGTACTCTAACAATGCCAACGTCATTTTCATGCGATGGTATTGCTCCAACTTCTTTATCAGCCATCGATAATAAATATGTCGTATAATGATTTAGGCCAAAGAAATCAGCTGTCCCTCTTATATATTCTACTTCATCTTTACTAAAAACTGGTAGTCGAGAAGAACTGTAATTTTGCTCTTTACTTTTCTCGTTGACCAGTTGTATTAATTCAGGAGGGTAGTTACCAGTGGCAGAATAAACAGGATAAGCATACCAACCCATCTGCAAAAAAAATTTAAATGCATTAAAAGCGTCTTTATATTGACAATGTAAGACTATAATATATCATCATTCTCTTTCATGGATAGGAGGCGAACAAGCAGAATACACCAGTAGGTACAAAAATGTAAAAATCGTAGTAAAACCCTACACCAAGCTGTGCTTAGCAACAACAGGCTTTATATCCTTATTATAAACAGACCCCCGTATCGTAAAAATCTTACTAATATAATAAAATCGTAATTTGGCGATATCAGATATTAGTGGGAGATATTTAAGAAAAAATATTTTAAAAAAGATCAAAAACAATTCTGCAAAGCTAACTTAAACTGGTGTACGATTTCTTGATATATTATCTAGAATGGGTTCATTTCATTAGTTTTCCTACTTTTGAAATCCACGCATACGAAGTAGCGGGCAAAAACTAGTAATATCTAAAAATAAATAACAAAATGCTTCATAACTTATTTACTCAAATATTAAAAAGTAACTGTCATGCTTATGTTACATCATTTTCATGCGATCGACTTTTCAGTACAGCATGGCATTAAGGATGTCTGTGTCAGCAGGTTACTAGACATTACACCATGGTAATTACATATATATGTTCTACGTCTAATCTGATATAATTGATCGAACTGTTCTTCCTTATTGAGACCATGAATAATAAAGACAAATATTCTAACAGATCTATGAAGACATAAAAAGTAAGTAATGATACTCACGTGTGTTTTCAGATATAAATCGGACGCTTTCTTATCACTTTCCGAATTTGTTTTGGGTTCTGCCCAATTAGAATCAATAGATAAACCTAATTTTCCTGAAATTAAAACAATAACATTTATAAATAATCGAATTATTATAAATAAATAATCAACTTTTCTTTAAGTTAACCAAGAAATTTGAAAAATTACCTCCAGTTTCGCTGAAATTACTTTTAAACAAATGATACACACTCGCGTGAGCTTTTAGTAAATTGTGAGTGCAGAGATACTCCGCAATACCATGTCTGTTTAATGCTGGTGCTCTATATGTTCCTCCATAACCCTCTAAACAGGTCTGCATTGGTTCGTTAAAAGTGACCCAATACTTGACTTTATGAGCGAAATGTTTGAAAAGTATATTTGCATAATCTGTGTAGTAATCAATTATGTGCGCATTGGTCCAACCACCAATGTCTTGCAGCTTCTGCGGAAGGTCCCAATGATATATGGTCACCATCGGCGTAATGTTATACTTTAATAGTTCGTTTATAAGGTTATCGTAATACTGAATACCCAATGGATTGATACTGTTTGCAAATCCAGAAGGCAAAATTCTTGGCCAAGAGATTGAGAATCGATAGATATCTACACCGAGTTCGTGTACCATCTCGACATCCCGCTTGTACAGATGGTATGAATCCGCAGCGATGTCAGCATTGGAACCGTCTTTGACGAAGCTCTTATTGTTGTGTACCAGATGATCCCATATACTCTCTGATTTTCCTGTAATTATTTAATTAATTTGTAATAAAACAAACTTTGGCCGTGTGTTCCCGGCATTGAATAGGCCACTTATATTCAATATAGAAAATTAATCTCGTGACTGTAATCTCATATGGGATAGTCACAAGTATTTTGTAAGGTTTTATATTATATAAGGACATCAACTTCTAACATATAATGGTATGCAAAAAAGCTTATATCTTATAGTTGTACTAATATAAATGTCGATAACAGTGGCATACGGTAAAACTATTTGTTCCACATATAATATATTTTGTATTTCGTACTTATTAAATAAATAAATGCCGTTTCTTTACATAAGAATTTTCTTACTTAAAAGAAGGCATCAACAACTGATGATATTTTACATAAATAAATATTTTTTTGATTAGATTTGACTTATGATAAAATTTGCAAACTGAGTAGTAGGTATTTATTATAAGTAAGGAACAGAGACACTACCTTGTAGAAATGCTCTTCCGACACTGTTTCTTGTTTTTAATAAATTATACAATACAATCTACATTTTATAACTCCAGCTAGAAATTTATATTCCACTAGGTATCAATAGCATTTGAATACATTAAATTATTTCTTTACTAAATACCATTGAAAATCAGTGTCAGTTATAATCAGAATAACATAAAGTAAAAATAATAAAAAAAAACTAATAAGAATATAAAAATGTTATTTACTTATGTAATAAACGTAAATAAAGAGGATATAAAATATTTTTAAGGACATTAATGCAACAATGACAATTTACTATTAGATATAATCTTGTCTTAATATTATCTCAACCATAAAAGTTCAATGTAAAATGTTGTAATTTAATGTAATTGTAAACGTTAGTTTGTAATTTATTAAAAGTTTTTTAACTATAAATACATCAATAATAACTAATAAATACGTCAATGTTCTATAGATAATATTGAAAACTTATATATACCATCTTCATTCCAAGCCCCCTCAATTTGCACAGCGGCTGTGGATACACCAAATACGAAGTCCTTTGGAAATGTGTAACCGGTGTTAGGGCCTGCAGATAAGTTTAGTTTCTGAGCTTTTCTATAAAAAAAAACAACAATAATTAAATCACATCCATATAAATACCACAGATGTCTATGAAATCGAAGGAAACTTTTGAGATTCAATATGTTACTAAAACCGTACACAGAGAATAGGACCTATGATTTCTGGTTCTAGTTTTGCTCTCAACCACTAGCTCTATTACTATAAGCCTATGATTGTGTTGATGCAAAAGCATCAAAATAATTATAGCTATCTACTAATATATACTAACAAACAGTTTTTGCTTTTGAATAAGAAGCCAACTGTCGAAAAAGTTTGTAAGTACCTATACTCGTGTATATGTACGTATATAAATGTATTTAGATATATGGCATAACATGTCATAATAAACCTACATAAAGATTTTAATATACTTATAAAACAGATATAGCCACCATAAACTATCAAAAAATATTTGACAGTCAATGATTCTTTTTTCGTTACCATACTTATTTTTAAAGTCATCATTATCATCTCAATTATTTTCATTAAAAAAAATCTAATATTGTGAATTGGTCATGATGGGTCTCCTAACCTGGCCTACTTTGTTATGGTGACAAATAAACATACGGCCGGTCTGATAGTAAACGGAGTTGGCATAGCTTAGTAGCTTATACCAAGAATGTTACGTGCGCGTTTATGTTCGCATTCTTCACCTATCACCCCTCACTATAATTCCGCCAAAATAGCATAAAAGAGATTTTATCTATTCCATTTCCATGTAATATAAAATATATAGGAACCCAAACATTTCAGGAATTCCCTTAATATGGGTGATAAAGGTTATGAGCGGAAAGGGCGGCAGAAAATATCTAATCTACCAATAAAAATAATACTTATAACGTATACAAATTATTTTTTAGAATTAAATCAAATCTAATTAGGTTATAATTTAATGAATTCTTATTAGGTATATACCATTACGTATATATAAAATTTTTAATTCACTATTAAAACCCTCAAAGTAAAAACTAAATATATAGATCAGGTAATTTTTAAAAGATGAATAATCTGAATCATTTACAAAATGCTACGATGCTTCAGGTAAAAGAAAAATGCCAAATGAAACGTTAACAAAACTACAATGTAAATATAGATGGAAATGGGTTCCGGAGTAGAGCTAGACTAACCTGAATTTACATGGTAAGGAAAAATAACACCTTTATCCTTAGAAATGGCAACGAATGGGGGCTATTATGGGCGAAACAATATACTCTGTTATGTCCATGGTACTGCTCATATCTACAGGCGACGGTTACCATTTTGCATCAGGTGGGTTGTCAGCTTGTTTGTCATTCTAAGTTGCATAAAAGAAACTTATTATGATCACATATCTTTTATCTAAAAAAGATGTCCATGCATGAGACGAGTTATGAAAGTGTAAAAAGCAAGAGGTCTCTAGCACTCGGTTCTCTCTGCTTACACCGCAAGAGATTTAGCGTAAAGATATAGCGTATGTACATTTACAAAATTTATGCATTAATAATGCATAAATTTTATATTATAATTTAAATTATAATTTTTTAATGTTTGCATTTTACTAAAAACACAGACATTGCCAGACTCACGATATAAATTCTCGAATTTGTTTATCATGTGATGCGAATATCAGTATAGATATAAAAATCTAGTAGTAATGGCGTAACCCAATTTTCATCCATAAAAAGGAAAACTTGAAACAAAAGGAAACATCCTGGCTAATAATAAATTTTAAGTCTTAATATTTCACTTGGAGACAGAAATCTTTATATAATATTAATAAGTGAGACGTTAATAAGTTATTACTAGAATTGTTATTAGAATTAGAAATAATTATTTAAAAATTGTAATATATCACTATCAGTTTAAGAAAATAAAAATCTTATTAAAGATGCTTCGTTCCTACTTGACCTTGGAACATACGGGCGTAGTTTTACCTTTTCCCCCTACTATCTACTAAAAATTATCACGTTGACAAAGAGTACTTAATTGTGCAGTATTGTTTCGTTTCACTTACGAATACCTATTTCTATTTAAATTACATTATAATACTTATGTTAAATGCTAGTTGCTAGGTGATAACTTCTAAATAAAGCGGATTTATTTAAGAACAAAAATACAACTTATTATCTATCTAAATTGTACCATGATAAACAGATTTTTAACGCAAATAAAATATTTACAACTATATTTTTTATAAATATTATCACATAACACCAGACTAACTAAAGTAATAAAAACTAATAAATCCATTATTATCAAGATTATTCAAACAAAAAGATATCAGCAAACATCTTTAAAATGTAAACTAGCTAAATATTTCATAAACGTGTTAATTATACGAGTAGGTATATGCAATGCAGTAAAGGTCGATCTTTCATCACTATAGTATAATATAAATTGGGACCGTACGTAAATAAATACTATATTATTTTATGCCATATTATTTTATTTTTGATATAAATGTGCCGTGTCAGTATAGAAAAGAAATATATTCGATTTTTTTTAATAAAAATAAACCTACTTCAATTGTGGCAAAAAAAAACAAAGTAAAAAAATCATATTTTGATTTAAAAACTAAACCACTGAACTGATGTTGTTGAAATTATAGAAGTTTCTAATCTAAAAGTATATCCTTTCAGATAAAAAATAATTTTCCAAATCGGATTATATAAATAACGGACTTATGAAATTGTTAACATAAAAAAATAACACAACCAAATTGAAATTGAACCTCCTTTTTCTTAAGTCGGTTGAAAAGAAAATAATAATAGATCATACCTACCTACTTAGTTTACTATTTTCAATCTATATTTTGAAATATGTGCGAGTAACGAAATGGTCTTCAATCTGCTTATTGAAAAGGTCATACTTAAAAAAATTAGAAATAATATTTTTGAGTATTATATTAGGCAGACACTTGTCGAACAAATATTGCAATATACAATTGCCTGCATTATTGCATCGTGTTTACCATGCGAAACTCGATTTATAATATTTTATAAAATTTTGTTAAAATTATCTTAAATACGTATCTATTTTTATATCAATGTTTCACATAAATAATTGTATTTTTTAATAATTTTTACATTAATTGAAATAAACTTAACCATGATTTCGATTTTAAAATGAAGTAGCTTTATATTAAGTAATTATTCTGCTATAATAAAAATATTAAATATAATATGTACACGAATACGAAACAACTGTTCCGAAACATCATTAAAGCCGAGGCATGCGTTTTCCTTAAGCTTGATTTGATGTAGATATAATTGGCTAATTACCTGTAGTTATACATTTATAGCTATCGTATTTTAGCACCAGCTAGTTTTTGAGCGATAAATATTATACTATACTATGCAAACAGGTACAACATCTAAATGAATTCATTAAAAAAGAAGACTTTGATAATCAGTAAACCTGGTTAAACAAAGCTAATATACAAGAATAAACTTATAAAAAATCTATGACATCAGACCTTTTTATACTTGATGACAACAGACCTAAAGTCACAGAACATAATTAAATAATTAAAATTTCTTAATTTCATTATATACATGATTTTTAGAAAATGTACTCCAAATTGCATCTCTTGTAGACTAACGCTATAAAAAGCGCTAAGTAGACACAATAGTAAAATTAGAAAATGAAATCCAGCATTCGACTAACATCGGAACTCATTTAGGAAACGAAATTGGCTATTGCTTTAGGTCAAGTTTGAATGTTCTATATTTATTGTATAGTTTACTACTGCTACTACACGGGATAGATAAATTAATTACACAATCAGAAGATTTGTGTGATTATGTAGCATTTATTTATTAATTTTCTAAAGTTTCAATATCTACACTTCTTAGTTGAATGACATTATGTGTTATACAGTTGTGTTAATATTTATTAAACATAACAATATATGAATTACTGACTTTGGCATATAAATAGGAAACAATTATATATATGTACGTAACTGTTTAAAAGAGTATATAAACAGCTGCTACTAAAGAATATTGAAATCCTTTTAATGTCATATAAGTAATTACAAAATATATAGGACTAAATTACAATGAAGCTGGTAGCATATTGTTATTAATTTCACAAGCAAAAGCGAGAAACAAATATAATAGTAATTTTTGATAGTAGTATAGAATGTTTGAATTTTTATTTATATACATATATAGATACGAAAAAAGGTCTATGTTCAGCAGTAGACAATTAACGACTGATATAGTATGGTATAGGTACAAAAATAGCCAATCGTTAATATTAGACTAGTAAAAAGGTTAATACAAGCATTAACACCAAAATAAATATTTATACTTGTATTTAGTATAGATATTTTTTAGACAATCGTTAGATACTCTATATCTTGTAATATCATCGAGAGTTGTAATATCATCATCATAATATCAACCATTATCCGTCCACTGCTGGACATAGACCTCCTCCGTAGACTACCCGTATCACATCGTTTGCCCGTACAGAGTCGCCATTCAAAAACTTATCTTCTCCATCGGTTTTCGGTTCTTCGAGCTATGTGACCAACCCATTGCCACTTCAGCTTGCTCATCCTTCGGGCTGTATCGATTACTTTGGTTCTTTTGCGGATATCCTCGTTTCGAATTCTATCACACAAAGAAACTCCGTGCATAGCCTGCTGAGTAATTTGAAGCTTTTGTATACGGTAAATCGTGTAAAACCATGTTTCGCTTCCATAAGTCATTACTGGCATAACATTAACATCATTAAATATAAATATATCTATACTATATAGAGTTAAATGGCCAGTGTTGTTTCTACTAAAAATTCTACAATCTTTAGTGGGAACAATAAAGTATATCTATCTATATTGTTTATCCAGTAATATCATCTTATAATACTGGTTTTTATATACCAAAGGCCGTCAATATATAAATAAATGCTATATCTATGTCACGATCTTCACGATCTTACACTTACAAGAACACAGCGGAGCCTTTTAAGTTCCGTATTACAATTTAATAAAAAATAGATCATAGAGC